TAACTTTTTCAAAAATGAACATATCAATATAATTTTTTTTTATATAGATGTTTGATGTCTTTACTTATCATTTGGTGTATTTTTTTTGTAAATCTGACACTTAACCTGCCCACAGGGAGGAATTTAAAATGACAACTTTTTCACAACAAATTTACTTTTTCAACATAAATTTTGAAAATGTTCCGGAAGGTCTGACACTTTTATATATATCTTAAATTAAAGCTAATGTAATATACTTTAATTTGAAAAAAAAAAATTTGACCTCTGGACTTGTCTTCACGGCGAAAATGGCTACCGAATGCTATTTTCGTGTGAAAATTCTCGATTTTATTATTTATATTATATTTAACTTTATAATGCTATAACTTATTGAAAAGTTTATGGATCCACACAATTTTTTTATGAGAAATAATATTTTTTAATAAACCCTTTTTCATTCGACATACTTTATCTTAATCGAGATATTAATAAGGAACCAGCAGATCAAGTAGCTTTTGGAATAAAACACCAATTTTTTTAAAATTAAACACTATCTAAAGATTTGCATCGAAGCGTTTATTTTTGATAGTGATTTTAATCACTGTCAGATATCATTATACTTGATCCAACTATGCCACGTCACCACTGTGCCGCCACCCCCCTGTGCTGGGTTTTTTTAAAATTAAACATTATTTGCAGATTTTCATCGAAGCGTTCTTTATTATAGTGTTTTAATCACTGTAAAATATCATCTATACTGAACCCAATTACGTCCCCACTGTGCCGCGACCCCATTGTGTTGGATATTTTTTTTATTGACTAAAAACCTGTAATAGGTAAATATCAAAATTAAAATAAAATATAAATTAAACATCATAATAACATTTGGCTTTATTTGTATTAGTCTTTCAAATTAAAAACTTATTTAGAATTAATTGACTGTAGTTATAAAATATCTGCTATAAACATGCTATTCTATAACTATAACTATTTTACGAATAAGTGGAGTGAGTTGATTCCAATTTTTGTGTGATAAGAAACGAGGAGGTATTTTTTGGGGTGATTCCCACAAACACCATCATCTCATTTGACCACACCTCTTCCCTACCTTTCTAGTTGGTGGGTGAGTAGCTGAGGCAGGGATCCCAGCTTTCTCTATTTTACCCTACTGCTATAACTCTATTTTATGGGTAAGTCTTTAAAAACTTTTATCAAAAAATTATATTAACATATTACTTTATACCTCCCACCCAAAAGAAGTTAGAGGCAAAATATTAAATTAAAACCACCAATTGAGTATAATAACTGACATAAATTTTATTGCTATAAATGTACATTATATTTATTACAATACGATGTCAAGTTAAATAACTTATTTGATAAATATATTTATTATTAACACAATATAAAAAATAAATTAGTATACATTGAGTTAATTGTATTATTTTAAACATTATATATAATATTTAATTTTACCTTATGTCTGAATTTATTTTAGTTTTTAAACTACAATCATAGATTTAACTTTAGTAACTATTCTTAGAATTTCACTACAAATAAATAATAATCAATTTCAAAAACTTCTCTATATAAATTCCTGGCATAGTAATTGCTTTTATAATAATATAAATATTAGTTGCGATATAATATTATGATACCTTAGATGTTGGATATATGCTTACATACGCGTCTGCTAGTCAATAATAAAATTCTTAGAAAACGTTGGGTTTCATCCTCCCCCTCCCACCATTTGGTGAGTTTACATAAGGTTTCGTCGTTCCCCCTCCCATTACAAAGTTTAGTTAACGTTGGATTTAATCCCTCCCAATACACTTCCACCAACGCATGGATTGTGAGTTGGTGATGCGGGGGGGGGGTCCAGCGTACTTTTCTTCAGGCNTGATGCGGGGGGGGGGTCCAGCTCTCTCTATATTACCCTACTTATATATTTTATGATTACTTGTCAATAAAATAATAACATTGCAAGAATAAGACAATGGTGATTATTCGGGGATACAAAATATTATAAAAGAGAGTCAGTCCCGAGGGCTTGAAAGAGTCTGTCTCCAGATACTCAAGGTCCTGCTCCTATCGCACTCTCAACATCATCACGTA